CTCAATGCATTGAGCAGTGATTGATTTCTTCACACGATCATTTCCTCTATATTTTCTTTTCAAGGAATCCCAAACAATCTGAGATGTTCTCTTATCTAGAATTTGTTCAAAAATTGATCTACTTATAACCCTGAAAAGGTAATGCTTGACTTTGTGATCTTTAATTCTGGATTTCTCCAATTGCTCCAATTGTTCACGAGACAGAACAGTACATTCCATAGGCTCCTCAACACCATTTTTAATCAGATTCCAGAGACCCTTGGCACATAAAAGATTTTCCATCAGTTCACTCCAATAATCATAATGTTGACCATCAAAGTAAGGGATTTTTTAGGAGAATTTATCTTTATTCATCTTCGTAAGCTGCAACTTTTATATCAGATCCACTGGGAGCTCTAAAAGAATAAGAGATATATATTGCTACTCTTGCCAAGTGAATACCTTTATTAAAATCAAAGAGGCTATTAAATAACACTCACGTAAGAGAATACATAAATCAGAATGTATAAAGAATAAAAAATGCTAAAAATTAGGCATTATTATGCAGTAACAGAATAAAATATCTCTTCAAACGATTAAATATAGTTTCTTTTTAAAATTAATTATTAGACGCTATTAAAATCGAAAAAAAAAAACAAAAAAGGAACAAAGCATAAAATATTAAGCTTAGTGTTGATCAGTTGCCACTGTATTATGACCGTTAGCGTCAATCTAGGGATGCCAATTGATTAGTATTAACTAAATATTAAATGAAAAATGATACGAGTTTCATGGCGAGGACTGGGAAACACTATTTATCTCAAAAAAGTGTCGGCCAAGGGAACTTCATTGTTAAAAATAAAAAACCAATTGTTAAACTTTGAATAAAAGATTCAAAAATTTACTTATGATTTTTTTTTTCTTTAAAGGGATATAAATAATTTTGTGGAAGAAAGGAATAGACAATATATTTTAGTTATATTATTTAAAGTGAGAGAAATTATCTGGTAGGATTTTTTCCTGAATATTTTTATCTTATCAAAAGTTTGTATATCTTGGTGACAATATTTAAGGTTTATCAAATCTCGTTCTTTAGTGTCTATTTTTATGTTTTTCTTGTCTATAAGTAGTTTTACATGTCCAAATTTGTATTTTCCAATTATTCAAAGTGTTAGGATCAATCCTTTATAATATTATTATTTAAATCTCATATATGTTCATATTTTTTCATATAATATTATTGATATTATGAGTGATTTATAGACCTTAGTTAGGTTCAATATTCATTGAGGCTAATAATAATCCTCACCAGGAAGTTGATCTCCTTTTTCTAGTATTCGAGTAGTTTTTTAGACTTGTAAATTTAGTTCACATATGACATATGGGTTGACATCAGAAAAATACATTGGGTTAAAACACCCCTCACTAAAAAAGTTCATGAGTCTTCTTTTTTTAAAAAGAATATTAATTTTGAATATAAAAAAATTTAATTAAATCGTAATTTATCACAAATCTAAGTATTTTTAATTGGTAAAAAAATTATATATTATATAATCAATAATTATATTAAACTATATATTATATATTTTATTTAAGAGTTAAATATGTTTTTAGCCTCTAAACTATCAAGCGATTTTGTTTTTAATCTCTCTTTCAAATTTTGATACATTTTGATCATTCTCCTTAAGGAAACTATAATTTTTCGTCCTCCCAAACCAACGGCGATAAAAAGAAGCTGAGGTGGCTAATGTCTGGCCACGTGTGATGATGCTAACGTTTGCCACGTTGGTATTTTTCAATGCAAAGTCAGATTGATTTAATACCTTTGCATACCGAGGTGAACGAGCTCGTGGATGGCCGAATCAAGAGCAAATTGATCCTCCTTCTTTGCCAGCAACTTCACCTCCTGAGTAACATGAATCCCCCAACCATTCTTCAGATCTGGCGAGTACATGTGTTGAAGATCGAAGATCCTCCGAGAACTGGTTCACCGTTCGTCGCTACAGCTCGCGCGAGTCCATGTCCTCGACTCCCATCGCCTTCCGAGACGCCATGAACAGACAGTTCCCATCGACCGACACCTCGCCACTGTATGAGAGCTGGAAAACGACAAATCTAAGATGGGAGGACGATGGTGGAGACGATGACGAGTCCTCTACCTCCTCTGGTGGCTTCCAAAGCACGCCTTTGGCGTGGAGCTTCTAGAGGTGGCGTCGCTGCTGCTCTTCCAGACCGACGACATCTTCCCAACCATCGGTGAAGGTCGCACCACCGACGCTAGCCGAAATGACGAGATCTACGGCTGTAATTGACTCAAATTTGGGATCCCACCATGGAAGTGTTGCCAACGGCGAACCTTGGAATGGTTCGACGACGGTGGTTGAATCACACAAAAGCTTCTCCATTGTGATAGATGAATGTGTGTGGATACAAATTTCGTCTCTTTTTTATTTTTTGTCTGATTATTCGAAAACAAAGAATTTGGGTTTTCTTGTGTCTAGGTGGGAAGAATTGGAGAAGAGAGAGAATGGAAGAGAGAGACTAGGGTTAACGGATAATATATTCTATTAGTATTTAATAATACCATAATCAAGGTGATGAAGGAAGGGAGAATCATGCAAAGTGGGAAGTATGATGAACTTCTCAATGCAGGCCTGGATTTTGGTGCACTTGTGGCTGCTCATGAATCCTCTATGGAGATTGCAAAGTCTAGCGATAAAGGTGGTGATGATTTGATTCAGTCTCTGAAACTGGCTCGACTCCCTTTAAAAGAAAAGGAAAAACCAGGTGAAAAGCAACCTCAAAATCGGCATGAAGATGCAAGGAAGGAGACGGAGGGAGAAGAAGAGAGAGAAGCAGGGAAAGATTGACTCAGTGTCAAAAAAAGAGAAAATGAGTTGGCACTTCGTTAGGCAACTTAACCTATTTTTTAACGGTGTTAGTGTTGGAGGACGAAAAATTATAGTTTCTTTACGCACAAGGATCAAAGTGTACCAAAGTTTGAAAAAGAGACTAAAAACAAAATATAGTTTAGGGACTAAAAACATATTTAACCCTTTATTTGATAACATATGATATAAAAATCTTGATTTAAATATAATAAAATTATAACATATTAGATTATCTAATAAAATATAATTTTATGTGTACATAAATTATACATTAACAATGTAAAATATTCCATTAATATTTGTATTCAAGTTATTATTTATATATAAAAATAACAACAAGTAAGATTTTTTAAATATAAAATTAATTTTTAAAATGTTGTAATAATTTATTTAAATCGAAAATTATTGTTTGACACACCTAAAACTTTTACATTCATTTGACACTGCTCTTTCTTACTTTTTACTCTCTTTTTTCTTAAAAAAATACAAAAAAATTATACTTTTATGACCATTTTATCCTTGTACTCTGTCTCAAATGAATGTAAATAAAAAGTACAATATAAAAATGATTAAAATAAAATTTAAATGAATAGTATTACTATGATACACTTTTACAGTACCATTACTCATTTAAATCCTATTTGAATTCTTTTTACATTGGGTTTTTCGGGATAGGACTTAAAACAAGTCCTCAATGAAAAAAAAACTAGGACTTACTTATTTTTTTAGTAATGTTAGTTAGGATTTTTATTTCCGCCAATGAGATTGCTTTTTTTAAAAATAATGATACTATTTTTTTTGTTAATATAAATTAAATTATTTCAGTCAACATATGATTGTTTTTTAGTTGACATTATTGGGATTATATATTGGCCAATGTAGGCTATAATTATTCTCAATTAATGTTTGTTTTAGAGTTAACCAATTTTTTGTTAAAATTTGCAATGATTATAGTTTTTTTGTTGATAGTTGTATAGTGTCAAAGTATTAACTTTTTGAATTTAGTGATAACTGAAAAATTGTATCCAGAGGAGACAATTAAAATTTAATAAATTTAAACTATCTTACCCAAGCAAATGAATTAAAAAATGATTTAAAATGAAAAAAAAACACACATTTAATATATTGAAATTTAATTTAATTTGTTGAGTCATCTATTTAAACACAAGGTAAGAAATTGTGATAGTAATTACTTAAAATTATAGAATTTCTCACTTTAAAGTAAAAATTTTAAAAATTTCGTACTATCTCATCTCTCATAGTCTGTCTTTTCGATTCATACTACTTCGATCTAAGTGTGGTATCCTGAATCAATATCAATGTATTTATGACTGAGGTTGGAACATCGATATTACATTTTAAGGATAATGAATCATTATAGCTCAATATGATTTATAGAATTGCTAACTCAATCTACATCATGGAATCAGTAGGTTGACAAAGATTAGCATATTGACTTAATAATTAACTTATAATCAATTGGAACATCATTGCCTCACCTCACCTCAACATGTACGTCATCCACCACCAAAAATGAAAAACATTGTAAAGATTTAACTAATTATTTTTAAGTTTAAATAATTAATAATTACATATTAAATTAAAATTAAAACTCAGATTAAAAGTTGAAATTTATTCAATGAGAATAAAATAGAATTGAAATACTAATCATTCTTAATTTCTAACATAGTTTATAAATCTATTTATGCAAACAATTTCATGTAGTTGTTAACTAAACAAGGACATAGTTAGCACAATATGCGGCTAGATCATACAATCCATGATTCAACTTCAATCAATATGTTGTTGGTCTCAACATTGTTCAAGACAAAAAAGTAATTTCCAATGATTTTAGTATAAATTAAACAATGAACAGTGTCTCCATCACAACTAAGGGATTAAATATTAATAGATCACACAAATCAACCTCACCTGATGCTCTGAGGAACTTCATAAGCAAAACTATTCAAGAATACTCATGTATTGCTAAAATAATAAATGAATATTAGTTCGTGGTGGCATTATTTGCATTCATCATAAAAAGAGTGAAAAACTCCGTCTTTATTGTCACTAAAAAAAGTTATCATTGCTTATGGACCTAAAGCGTTTCTCCACAAAACTAAACATGGTCAACTCCACTTTGCACCATCCATAAACAAATCATTTCACAATATGAGAAAAGCCCTTGCTGAAAGCAATACTCTATAACTAGAGAAAAATGCCAAAATCACAAAAACTAATAAAATAGGTAAACTCAGAAGACTTGACACGCCACAAAATTCGTCAGCAAGCATGACATGATGCTTAAATATACTGCCAAACATAGTGTCAAATGGATGTCCCGTCAGAGAGATTGTTGTCGCATAAGTATCCTTCCAATAATTTCACATTGTCTTGTTTCTGCATTACATAGTTATGTGAGATATCTGTGATTGGAGGAAAAAATCAGGTGCAAAATGCTAAAGGGTAACCAATTAAATCATTATTTCACTAATTATATAACAAGAGAATTTAGCAGGACATTGTGTTAACTATTTATCACAGGTAATGCATATATATAAATTGATAAAAAGCATGCATAAAGTTTCAAGACTTTAACAGCTTTACATAATAATAAGCTTAAACGAATAAGTTACTATTATCTTGTCTATGTTGGTATCAACCTAATCAAAAGATCTATACATGTTTTAATCAATAGGAAAACAGAGGGAAAACCTACAATAACAAACCAAAACTAGAAACAAATACAATCACCTGTTTCATCATTGAACTGACAAATTCTTCCACGGAACCAAGATTATTAGCGACACTATTGCTTTGAGACTTGGTATGGTTCATGATGTATCCCTGTTGTTGTTTCAATGTGTTTTCTTCACTCAATCCCGTAACTCCATCAGGTTTCATCAGTAAGGGATCAAAGAAACTGAAGTCTGTGTTTCTGNGAATAAGTTACTATTATCTTGTCTATGTTGGTATCAACCTAATCAAAAGATCTATACATGTTTTAATCAATAGGAAAACAGAGGGAAAACCTACAATAACAAACCAAAACTAGAAACAAATACAATCACCTGTTTCATCATTGAACTGACAAATTCTTCCACGGAACCAAGATTATTAGCGGCACTATTGCTTTGAGACTTGGTATGGTTCATGATGTATCCCTGTTGTTGTTTCAATGTGTTTTCTTCACTCAATCCCGTAACTCCATCAGGTTTCATCAGTAAGGGATCAAAGAAACTGAAGTCTGTGTTTCTGTTGTAGATTGAGTTGAAAGAAGTGTTGCCATCAGTATCCATCAGAGAGTCCATTGAGTTACAAAAAATATTTGAAGGGAAAGTACTATCATCATTGTTGTCATCCCACCCTTGAAATGGCACCACATTATTGGTAATTTGTCCAGAATTATTTGGAATAAGAACTCCTTGTGAATGCATATCTTTTAGTGAATAATGGGATGGATTAGACAGTGAAGTAATGGATGAAGCACCACTCAGATTCCTCACTCGAAAAGTTTCACCTGCAGGGTAAGAATTTGTCCCTGATGACTGAACAGTATTTGACCAAATATCACTGCACCTACCATGATCCAGCAAAGGGAGTGAGAATTGAGAATTCTGAGAGGCTAATGAAGGTTGACCAAACAACATTCCACCCCCTTGTGTGTTTTCACTATCAGCTTTCAATACCAAAGCATTGTTTGATACGTCCAAAACAGGAGAGGGTGAGCAACCTACTGTTGATGTTGGTATCAGATCTGGGAGTTTATTTGGCACTGAAAAATTTGGTTGAACATCAATAAAAGGAGAAATGCTTTGAATCGGACTAACAGCAATACCAACACCCTTATTATGTTGAAATTGATCAAGAGCAGTGGACAATGGCACTCCCTGAATACCATTATTTTGATTGCCACCAGTTATAGCAGGTTGAAACTTGAATGGTTCATGCATAGATTTGTGAAAATTTTGTGCATGACCCAACTGAAGAGTTTCATGCACATTCACACCAACAGAAGTGTTCAATCTACCAGCCATTCCACCAGGTCCAAAGGGTCTGAAAGTACTGTTATGAAACTGTTGAGAACCAGTCAATGACTGCAAATGTCCAACACCACTCAGAGAACCTATTCTCAGAAAGGATGGATCTGTAGTGCCTAATGCTGCAACCATATTAGCCTGCCGGTTCGCCGCACAGTTGATCTTTTTCAGATAAAGCCTATATTTCTGCAGCCATAGAAAGACACAGTGAGATTTCCTTTGTGAAATGGTTTATGTTCGAATAACTAAAGAAGAAAAGTTCACAAAAATGCCTGAAGGTGGCTGGCCACATTCTCCCTTGTAAGCTTTTCAACATTCATCAAGTCAAGAATCTTTTTAGGTACAGCTTCTGCAGAAAAAATGGTTAACAATATCATGAGTCACAATTCAGAAATAGAACACTCCATGGCAAGAAGTACAACATCAGTAATGATCGAAGGCATTCATTACATTCACCCTCAGGGAGCTCATGACAGAAAGTGTTCAAAATAATGCTTAATACAATTTCCATATCTTAAGGACCTCAACATTTGATTGCTATCACCTACTCAAATAATCATAAGAAGCTTGTTAAATTAAAAATAAAGGAAAGAACAATTGATAAGAAACAGAGTAAATTGTACAAATAACTATTGAGATTGTTCAAAATTCACACAATGTTNTCGAATAACTAAAGAAGAAAAGTTCACAAAAATGCCTGAAGGTGGCTGGCCACATTCTCCCTTGTAAGCTTTTCAACATTCATCAAGTCAAGAATCTTTTTAGGTACAGCTTCTGCAGAAAAAATGGTTAACAATATCATGAGTCACAATTCAGAAATAGAACACTCCATGGCAAGAAGTACAACATCAGTAATGATCGAAGGCATTCATTACATTCACCCTCAGGGAGCTCATGACAGAAAGTGTTCAAAATAATGCTTAATACAATTTCCATATCTTAAGGACCTCAACATTTGATTGCTATCACCTACTCAAATAATCATAAGAAGCTTGTTAAATTAAAAATAAAGGAAAGAACAATTGATAAGAAACAGAGTAAATTGTACAAATAAGTATTGAGATTGTTCAAAATTCACACAATGTTCTAGCCTTTTTATGCTGACGGTAACGGTCCTTATAATATTCACACAACACAATGAATAACAAGAAATGGCAGTGTAATGTATTTCAAACTATTAACAGTGGAAACCAGAGAAAAGGGTATCATGTGAATTCCAAAACAAGAGGTGATAGTGTAATTTGCTCTGGGAAATGAGATTGAGACGATTTGGAGTAAGAGATAAATTCAAGAACATACTTTCAAAGCCTAATTGATTGACAGCAGAAACAAACTTGTGGTGCAGTTCTGCATTCCAAACAACTCGAGCTTTCTTATGACATGATGAGTCCTCATTGTCATGGTCATTCTCTTGGTCCTCATTATCATAGTCATCCTCATCCCTCCTCTTTCGGGAAGACTTTACATTTTGATCTGAATTTCCTGTTGCTACTGAACCTCTTTCATTGCTGTCAGTATTAGCTTTCTCTTGGTTACTGCTTCTATTCTGCTCCTTTGAACCCATCTTCCTCCTTCTGGCAACATGCTGCCAAATATTCTTTACATCCTTAAGTCTCACAGGTTTCAGAAGATAATCACAAGCTCCATGTTTAATTCCCTTCATCACCATCTTAAAATCATCATCTACCGACATCACTGATATAAAAAACATTTAACATTGTCAAATCAAACATCCAAATGAAGCTGCAACACCTTAATATCCCAAAACAATCTTCCCAGGTTTACTATACATGTGTATATCAAAGGTGCATTATGTGATGAATTGAAGAAGACCTTAAATTGTGCGATAAATCAACAATACGCACTGCTATGATCCCAAATCAAATACATTGCAACCAATTCAGTTTATGCTCTGAAAACAAGACCCAAAATACTAAAGATCTTTAGTAGTAATGAAGTAAACAGTACTTGTGTAAAGTATATACAAAGTGAATCTGCAAATTAAACCCAAATATTGAAATATCCACAAATATTAACTATCTAACTACTAATAATAATATATATACAGAGGACACAAAACTGAACTGTTTAAGATTGAAATTAAGATCATGGCTTCTTACTTATGACAGGTAGGTCCATCTCAAGCCCCACAAGCTCAAGCAACTTAAATCCATCCATGTCTGGCATTTGCACGTCGCTGATAACAAGGTCAAACCCGTTTTTGTTTCCTCTCAACAGATTCAATGCCGTTTGTGAATTTTTAGTGGCTGTTACTGCAAAATCCATAACTAAAGTAAATATAATTACAAAAAGACAAAATTTTACACTGGAGATACAAGCAGAACCAAATTCAATGGGAAAGTGTTGCATCCAATGACACCAAAACTTCACATCATTGAAACCAAATAACAACAGAAAATCAGATAATTCCATTGACAATAATTTTAAATAGCTGACATATCTGGAATACTTAAGGTCTATCTTATGATAAGATCTGCCAAATGAAAACCCAAACAAATCAGACTAACAAACTCAATTTGAAAATTCAACTTTACAAAACAAATTACTTTAGTAATAGAACAAATAACAATGGCTAAATCAAAAAAAAGAGCAGAGAGTAGAATTCACAGACTCTTAATAATGCAATGAAAAACTATAAATAAAGCTTAAAGAAAGAGTATAAGATGCTAACCATGGTATTTGTGCTTTTGTAGCATAGTCTCCAGAATCTTTAGACAGGTTGAGTCATCGTCAACAGCAAGAACATGCAATCCTTTGTGAAACTCATTTCTGAAATCATCCATTCTATGATTCTCTACCACAGTAAATTTCTGCAAAAAGTGTCATCTGCTATAAATTAGCTTGAAACTTTAATAGATTTTTCTCTTTTGTAAATATTTGAAGCCAAAATCCCATGACATAGAATCTATGAAACACAGTTACCCAAAAGAAAGAAAAGAAAATTTTATGAAAGTATGAGTGATGAAGGGAGAGAAAGAGAGAACAATTGAAAAGTTGATAAACATGATTGTGAAGTTGTGATGTAGTACATGAGAGTGTGTGCAACAATTGTTGAATGAGAAAGATACAGAATCTTGAACTTGGTGTGTGCACAGAGAAAGTTAATCTTACAACGTGAAACATTGATCCAATAATTATATTATAGAAGATAGTGATGGATCTTCCTTTCTTCTTAGATACTAAAAAGAACAGATATGATCAAAATTTAGAGAAAGAATCACCTATTCAAAATTTTCAGAGAAAATTCATGCTTTCAGTACACCCCAACCAAACAGAAACCTATGATAATTTCCTTCTACAACTTAGATCAAATTACAGATATGATCTTCCATAATTTTCATGATTTTTTATGTCTTTTTATTACCTATTAACAAATTTCCTTAATTATCTCACATACATTACATTATTTATGGCATTATCTTCTTGTCTAGAAAAAAATATTAGATCAAACTTAAATATGATCGTAATTTACTCTAATTTTAAAATTATTATTAAGTTACTACTATAAATTATAAAAATTATATTATTTATGGGAAAGTTACTACCTTTTATAGTAACAATGTTTTGAAGGATTGGATTATAATAAGATTTAAAAAATATTTAGATTTTTTTTAAGTGTATAACATGATAAAAATGAATTATATATTTTATTGATCATTGTATATAACAATTTACAAGTATTTATTAGTTGAAAGAAAACAAGATTGTCTTTAGAAAGTGAATTCATCATGTTTTAGTTACTAAAATATATTATATACTATGTCATTAGGTTAGGAAAAAACATATTATATCTATAATAGTACTACTAAGACTAAATATGAAAAAATGAAAAACAAAATATTTGTTATATAAAATTGAAAACAGATGTATATAACTAATAGTAAGTTAGTAATAAAGTAATATTAATTAATATTACAAAATATAATATTTCTCGCAATTCTGTTTTTTTTTTTCTCATTTAATTAGCTAGTATTAAAATGTTGACTTGATAAGTAGTTTAAAAATGTTTTGCAAGAAGAATAAAAAACAATAATATTGTATTTGACCAAAATCAATAAAACACACAAAAAAAAAACTCTTTCTTATTTTTCACACAAAAAAAGGATTATTTTTTCTTATCATTAAGTTGTTTTATTGATTGTCAAATTAGTGAAAAACTTGTTGTTGATGTCAATCAAAATGTATTTTATTGAGCAACAATTATGCATTTGTGGTATCTGTTATTATTCTACTTTATGTAGTTTAGATTTTACTGTCCATTTTCTTAAATGTCAATAATTATTTGTGTTAAATTGTGAATTTATAATTTATTTGAGAGATTCTATGGAAATCATTCCAAAAGAAAACAAATATTCTTGTACCTAAATGTGTTCCTTTTGTCTTCACAACCTAGGGAAAACTAATTTGAATGTTTGGAAGCTGACGTGGCACAAATCAGAACAAATTAATTTGGAATAATAAATTTGATTTCGAGAAGTGATTGAAAGAGTTGATAGGAATATAGTATGTGTTTTTATATAAATATAGCTATAAATTCAATTTATCAAATGTTTTTATTGATAAAGTTTTGTACAACATACAAATATTTCACTTCTTAAAGTATATCTTAATTAATTTAAACTTCAAATACTTTTAAATTCATACAAATATTTTAGTTTTAGTTGTATTAAATATTTTTCTAAATGAAAATAATACAAAAGATAAGTATAGTGACAAAATATAATATAAGTTAAAATAGTTAAATTACTTTTAAGTATATAACTATCTTTTATTTCATATAAATAAGAGAGTTACCTACAATTTATTTTACATTTTAATGTATTATCAACAGTAACTTGTGTAATAATATTTTTACTTTTTAATTAATAATTTACTTTTAGTTTTATATATAATTTACTAAAAACACTTTTAATTTATTTTAATATATTATATTTTGTTTTGTAATTATAAAATCATTATAATATATTTTTAATTAATGTATCACATATTTTATATCCAAGAGATTTTATAATAGTAAAATAATTATGTAATTTTTTGTTATAGAATGTTGACTTAATAATTAAGTTATTTTTATTATGTCCTCTACTCGGACATCATTCAATATAGAAAATAAAAAATATTTTGAAAATTAAAATAATTAAGATCAAATTAAACTAAAATTCCAATTATTAATTCATGTTTTTTTATAAAATAAATTAATTAATATTATATATACAAATAATATTTTTTTTCTCTTTTCTTTTAATTGGGATCTTTTTTGTATATAATAATTAATAATTATTAAGTATGAATAGTTTTTAAAAAAAGAATATTTAGAACGGTAATATATTATTAATCATGTTTTTCTATAAAATAAATGTAATTTTAATACTATTTATACTTTGTATAAATAATTTTTTTCCTTTTATATTTAAGATCAAATTTTTTTTTTATAAATATATATTAATATTTATATTAAAATTTGGTATTTAAAGTCATTATTAATAAAATCACAAAGTGGGTTAATATCCCTGGGTTACAAATATCAATGGTGTTTAATTTATGAGAGAGATAAATAACTTCATTTGAAGTAGTATCCTATATGTGCATTGACAGTTATGTTAATCAGAAACTTGACATTGGCAAGAAAAAATTTTATAATTTTTTATATGTTAAAAAAAATTAAAAAGACTCCATATTTACATTATGTTTTTAACATGTTAGTAGTTTTTTAAAAAAAGAATCATTTTTAAAAGTTAGAACAGAATTGCAACTTTTTTAAAAAATATAGATCAACTTCATACATTACCTTAAAGGGGAGACTATCAAATAATTAAACCAATTTTAAAATAGAAATTAAAACCAAAATAATATTATAATTTAGATAAGTAAACGATTTAAATGGAGAAATTTATTTAATTTCATATTTTATTCTATTTTTCTTATCTAGAACTTTTTGGATTTTAATATTAATTATTTTTATAATATAAATACATTCATAATGTTAAAATATTTATATATTTAGAGCTGGTCATAATTTACTAAACTGTATTAAACTACCGTAATCTATACTATATTATACTTAAAAAAACTAAACTGGTGTATACTAATAACTAATTAAACTAGTCTTTGGTTCAGTTTAAAAAAACTGAACTTAAATATTTTCAGTGTAGTTTAACTGTGTTAATTGTTTGTCTTATTTTCTTTGCAATTCATATTCAATTATCACCCTCCCTCAAAGCTTTTTTGTCGCAGTCAACCTTCTCCTCTCCGTCGTTTGTCCATCCCCTCCCTCCCCTCGCCCCTAATTAGCCCCTTCGTTGCTCCAAAACAAAGTCTGCAAGCCTTTCCACACTTGCTTTCATTGCTCGCCCTACCATCTTTAGGGCTTTGTTGAAGCGTCTCCCATATCCGTTTTTACCTCTGGTTGCCACCATAAGATTCTTAGTGGAGCAGAATTTTGCTAATCTTTTTTTCTCCTTTGGAGTTGATTCATCGTTTGCATTGGAAACTGGATTTTTCTCAAACAATTTACAATGATCTCGTACATGTTTGGTTGATATGCCTAAAGAAAACTTAAGCACAATTAGATCATAGTTTGATAGTTAAACATACAAGTCCTTGGTCCATTTTTCTTGATTTCTCTATACAATCCTAATTGGGTATAATATTACTTACTTACACATAATAAACTATAGAGTTGTACAAGTAATTCTAATGTATAGATCCATATTATTAATGTAGAGTTTTTTGAAATTTCAATTGGAATTATTTGAAAGATAGTGTTTTGACAGGGGAATTTTGTTAGTCCGTTGAACATTTTGTTGAATCAGTTGCTGACTTTTTTTTGTTCTTGATTTGATTTTTGTATTGGAAAACTTAAACTTTATTAGTTAAATTTTAGTGTAGTTTTCAGATTACCACTATAAGTTTTAGTCAATTGCAGTAGAGTTCATGCGTAATGTTGGTAAATAAAAAATAGTTCAGTTCAGTTCATCCAAACTACTTTTTAGTTTAATTCAGTTTAGTTCAAGTGAACTATTTTTGGATTCAGTGTCGTTTTTAACTAGTGCAATTCAGTTTGCCCACTAATATATTGATTATGGTGTTATTTTATTTTATTTTTACTTTGAAGTTGTAAAAGTATAATACATAAATAAAACTTATTATAAAACTATGAATTTAATTATCTTTCGTTTAGGAACTCAAGTGTGGCTTTATAAGGAGTATAATATTACCATTTTTAATTAATTACTATGTACATTTAAGTTATGTTAATGGTAGACTTTTAATTTTTCTAAGTAGGGACTATAGAGTTTTGGTTTTTTATTAGATAATATGAATAATTTTACTAAACTTTTTTAGAAAAATAAACTATTATTTTGAAAAGATTTTGTAGTGGAGAAATATAAAAGCTATATACTTAAAGTTTACAAAGAAGAATGATAAGCAAATTTTCGCCAAGCAATATCAACTTTGGTATGACCGGAGACACTTCTTAAAAAGAATTAAGGTTGGCTGAATATCATATTCGATACGTTCAAAGACTGTCCCGGTGAAGATCCGATATTACATAATCCTTGCTTCGCAAGAGGTTTTCTTACCAAATACTTAGAATGCATATCATATAATTCCTACTTGGCAAGATTTATATTTGATTATCTTGTATTTTAAGAAAAATATGGCTTATAAGGAAAAATAAATTTATAAATAAAGATGTTATCAAATTATGAAACTTAAATTATTATTAGTTTTAAGTTTGACTATTATAGTATTAAATTCATTATGTCTTCTTTTTAATTCGAAGATTAAGAATTCTCAAAGTCTTATAGAAAAATATCTTTTAAGAGAAAAATGAGTTTTATATTACAAAT